GTGGCAATAGAAAATAAATTTAGCCGCTAACGTAAAATATTTATGACTTGAGAATATATTAATGGATGATATGTGACAATAGAAAATAAATTTAGCCACTAACGGAAAATAGTTACGAATTGATAGGAGATTAACTGATGATATGTAACATTAGAAAATAAATTTAGCCGCTAATGTAAAATTGTTACAAATTGAGAGATTAACTGATGATATGTGACAATAGAAAATAATATTTGCAGCTTATGTAAAATGGTTACGAACTGAGAGGAGATTAACTATTGATATGTGATAACACAAAATTAATTTAGCAGCTAATGTAAAATAGTTACGAATTTAGAGGAGATTAACTGATGACATGCGACAATAAAAAATAATATTTGCTGCTAAATTAAAAATTACGAATTGTGATGAAACTGTGTAGGTTTAATTGATGATATGTGACAATAGAAAATAAATTTAGCCGCTAATGTAAAATAGTTATGAATTGAGAGATTAACTGATATGTGAAAATAGAGAATAAAGTTAGCCGTTAACGTAAAATAGTTATAAATTGATTGGAGATTAACTGATGATGTGACAATGGAAAATAAATTTAGCCGCTATCGTAAAGTATTTACGAATGGAGAGGAGATTTACTGTTGATATGTGGCAATAGAAAATAAATTTAGCCACTAATGTAAAATAGTTACGAATTGAGAGATTAACTGATGATATGTGACAATAGGAAATACATTTAGCCATTAATGTAGAATGGTTATGAATTCAGAGATTAAATGATATGTGAAAATATAAAATAAATAAATTTAGTCGCTTACAAAATAATAGTTACGAATTGAGAGATTAACTGATTATATGTGGTGAAAAAAAAATTATTTAGCAGCTAACGTAAAATAGTTACGAATTAAGAGATTAACTGATGATATGTGGCAATAAAAAATAAATTTAGCCGCTAACATTAAATAGTTACGTATTGAGAAATTAATTGATGGTATGTGGCAATAGACAATAAATTTAGCCGCTAACGTAAAATAGTTACAAATTGAGAGGAGATTAACTGATGCTATGCTACAATAGAAAATTAATTTTGCTACTAACATAACATAGTTACGAATTGATTGGTAAATGTCTGATGATTTGTGACAATAGAAAATAAATTTAGCCGTGCATGTCATGAAAATGTCATGAAATCATCTCATGAAAATGTCATGAAATAATGTCAAGAAAATGAAAATACGAATTAGTTTGGGGACTTAAACTCTTTTGGCCAGTTATCTACACAAATGGTGTTTGGGGGTTTTAAGGAAAAAGTATTAAAAACAGGTCTTAATGTGCAAGTTTTTGAAAACAATACTGCAGATTATGCTATTTTTTTAATCTTTTTTATTTACCATATCCGTGTAAATCCGAGTACAACTTTTACTCATCATCTGTATGTGAAAACTTTTAAAAAATACAAAAATGTAAATGTAAATATTAGTCTGTTTTATTTTTTTAGGCATTTTTTAAAAAAAAAATCCAATCAACAACCAACGAACCACAGCTCTACCCTATATTTTTTTTTTACACTTTTAAACACTTAAAATGGATGAGTGTTGCTCGGCGGCGACGAAGTGGGCAGTAGGTAGTGTTGTCGCCTCATAGCAAGAAGGTCGCAGGTTTGAGCCTCGGCTGGGACAGTTGGCGTTTCTGTGTGGAGTTATCATGTTTTTCCTGCGTTCGAGTGGGTTTCCTCCGGATGCTCTGATTTCCCCCACAGTCCAAAGACATGCGGTACAGGTGAATTGGGTAGGCTAAATTGTCCATAGTGTATGAGTGTAAATGAGTGTGTATGGATGTTTCCCAGAGATGGGTTGCAGCTGGAAGGGCATCCGCTGCGTAAAAATGTGCTAGATAACTTGGCGGTTCATTCAGCTGTGGCGACCTCGCAGTAATATAGTGACTAAGCCGAAAAAGAAAATAAATGAATGGATGTCTATTGCAAAACAGAACACCTGTTAGGCTACTTCATTATTATGATTTTAGCATATTTTTACTCCCTAAAAACTAAACAATAAATATTTTGCATTTTACTTGTTTTTTTGCATATGGTTTTTAGGTTGATATGCACCAAGTTAATGTTAACTGTTAATGCTCACCTTAAACTCAACCCCTATGCTAGTTATTGACTAGCATCACAGCCAAACTGCTAAAGATGCATAAACTGACTGGGTAATCTCTGCAGGCAACTGTGATGTGATTACAGTCTCACATTGACCTGAAGAGGTTGTGCAGTCTGTTTACACCCAAAACCTCCGAGAATCTGATTTATACATCAAGACTACGTCGATGCTAATGTAAAATACTCTAATGTGCTACTTTACTATAACAACTTTAATTAACGAAAAGATGATCAAATGCGTCTTAAACAGTACCATGGAGCTAAAACAGTAAAGTGTTACCATTTTATGGCCGTAAACATCTGTACGCCCCCTGCTGGAGTAACCTGCTATTGAGCAGCTGATTTTTGGCATAATCTCAGCTGGCAACTGTGAGTAGTGTTTTCATCCCTCTCACAGGCGCTGCTGGGGTTCTGTCACACACAGCACCTGCAAAACAAGACAAAATATCATCAAAGAGAAGAGGGAAACCTGTGGAAAAAAGTTAAACTGTGGTATGGAATGTTTATAATTTATTAGTTCACCCACTTCAGTTTCTCTGGCGCTGCTGGAAGCCTGAGCTGCATGAGAACTTTCTGATGTTGGTGATACTGCATCAGGAACTGATTGGATGATATTCAGGAGCCATCAGTTCCTGATGCACTCCCATCAGCATCGAAAGAGACACCTGTGAGTCTTCTCACTTACAGTCACTTATACAAAGACGCCAGTACAATGTGGATTGTAAGAGAAATAATATGGTGATTGTTTTGAGCAGTTTATACAAACATTAAAGCTGCAGTTAGTTCCCCGCTAGAGGCACCAAACGGAATTTCTAATATGCTTGTGAAATTGCTGTAATATGACATCCTGTACAAAGATAATGTACATTGTTTTCTGCTTTGTTTCTGTATTAATAGGTTGTTCAGTTGTCTTCAATAAAGTTATAATTCTGTTTTACATTTTTTTCTTAGTGCCCTTCACATGTGTCAATGTCAGAAAAAAAACCCATTGAGGATACCTGTAAGTTCAATAGCTGTATATCGACTAGGCATGGGCCAGTGTAAGATTCTGACAGAACGGGATAAAAAATATCACGGTTTCACTGTATTGTGATTACTGCTCTAAAATATATTCTTTTTAAATGTTTGGATAAAAACCAAAGCTTTTTTTTCCCCATTTGAACACAATATATTTTATTTTGAGAAACATTTAAAATATTTTGGAGCATTAATTATTATTCATATTAAAAAAATCATTTAAATGAATTAATGACTTCTGCTGTCTTCATTAGTTTCAAAAACACAGATTTCTTTACAATTTAAAACTGTTGTCCTAAAACCAAACAACAACAACAACAAAAACGTAAATAAAAAAATATTTCTCATACCTTAGGTACGGTATAGCAGAAAATCTTTGCGATTTCAATACCTTGACTTCTAAACCGCGGTATACCTTTAAAACCATTATCGTCCCAAGCCTAATATCGACTGTTTTTAAATGCTATAAACTTTTCGATAATTCCTTATTAAAAATGAACCGGTTTTATTATATTATAATTGTGCAAACCATGTTTTTTAATTATTTATTTAATTTTATTGATTATTTGGCATATTGCCATTATATTACGATGTAGAGTTACTAAAAATGGCATGTTTAACCTATATGTGTTTTTATAAGTGTTCTTGTTGTTTTTATTTATAGTAAAACTACACTGTAAAAAAATATATATGATCAATTAGTAATGAAAGTTTAAGTTCATTGTAACATTGTTAAAATACGCTAATCATGTTCTAACCTAATTTTAAGTTACGCAAGCTATTTTAAGTCAGATTAACACAATAAAAGTTCAATGGACTCATAAGGTTAATTTGATTCAGCTTAAAAATGTAAGGCAAACAGGATTATTTTTTTTACTGGGTATGAATTCTGTCATTGTTTACTCATTTTTACTTTGAATTTCTTTCTTCTTTTAAACTAAAAAAAAAAAAAAGAAACTAAAGAAATGTTGAAACCTGTAGGCATTGACTTCAATATTATTTATTTTTTCATATTATAAAAGTCAATGTTCACAGGTTTTCAGCATTCTTTAAAATACCTATTTTTTGTGTTCAGCAGGAAAAAAGAAAACCAAAAAGATTTGTAAGCACATGAGGATGAGTAAATAGTGAGTGACTTTTTCTTTTTAGGTGAACTACGCCTTTAATACACAGAACATTCAGAAAAACATTAAATAACTTTTTGGGCTGAAAATAAGACATTAAATTAAGACTTTTTTTATTAATAAAATACAAGTCAACATTTATCAGCTCATTGAGAGTCACATACAAGCAAAACAAAATTATTCATTTAGTTAATTCAGGTCTTGTGTAGGAAAACAGTTGATATGCAAGAAAGTGAACATTATTTACAACATGATCCACTTCTTTTCAGCCAGTAAGTCACAAGTTATAATATTGAATTGATATAATAAATCACAAAGTTTTCAGCAAATAAACATCTGTAATGTTCAACACAAGAAAAAGTATGCATAATTTTTAAATGATTTGTGACTGAAATATGTACTTTGTAAATACTGTGTTTTAGCCAGAGAAATGACTGATCGCCCCCTGGCGGTTAACCAAAATCTAATTGCAACTGTCTGAGAAGTCTTTAGTAAGGATGAAAGTAATTCAGTATTTCGATACAGAGACACCAGTTGATAATTTTCACAAATTTAATACAATTAAATTACCTAGCAAAGTATATGTTTTAAAACGGAGATAAAGGAGCGCCAAGTAGCTGCTGTTTAGTATTGCCATCTTGTGGCCGCTAACTTTACCGCGGATCAGCTCATGATATGAAGTAACACTTTTTCCTCTCGAAGCTTAGTTTTACAATTGCTTGCAGTTTAAAAGTAAGTCGGGTTTTGTAACCTTGTTCTTCAGCTAACTTCAGTTGTATATTTTAAGAGTTAAACAACACCGGCGGCTCATATGAGCTCGAAGAGAGGAAAGGTTAAACGCACCAAAAATGTGCGTAATTTGGATTTGGACGATGCGCCTTCTTTAGCGCAGTCAATAATCGAGAAAAATCATCCAAATATTATACCTGCAGGGCGACAGTTAGAAAGAACACCTCCATGTAAGAGCGAAAGAATCACAATACACCAGCTCAGCAAACCAGACGCTTCTCCAACAGCAGACCAAGCGGTCAAAGATGAGCCACGTGCTCAGGTAAACAAACACACAACCGTGTTACTCACAAAAATGTATAAAAATGACTTTGACAGTTAAAATATGATGTTGCTATTATATATATATATATATATATATATATATATATATATATATATATATATATATATATATATATATATATATATATATATATATATATATATATATATATATATTTTTTTTTTTTTTTTTGTGTGTGTGTGTGTGTGTGTGTGTGTGTGTATTATCCGTTTTTTAAACTTCCTTTGGCCATTATTTCTAAGTTAGCAAATATAGTAAGACAATTGTCATTGGCTACTAACTAAACAAGGTTGTAGTAAAGGTTTATAGGTATTGTATCAACAGTTTGTCTAAAAATAAAATAAATAAGCTTAATTAGTTTTAGTAAAGGTTTGGATAAAGCTGATTTCTTTTCCGATTATGCATATAAATATTTTTGTCCCTTAACTCACAAGCTGAACAAAATTCTAACCATTATTATGTATCAAAAATAAAATCATAATATAAAATTTTTGTTATTAGAATGATGAAATTTCCATAAAGCTACCACAGTAAAGTGCACAACATGAATATCTACATACAATTAATATGAAAACAATCTCTTATAAATGCTTGTTCAAAGGGAAACTCAAACTACATCTCTTAGAAAAAACTTTAGGAAATTGATCTTATTGGGCCTATCTTTCTTTCTGCTGTGTGCATTCAATATTTTTGCGTTATGTTGGTTGTACTGTATGCTGTTTTATCTGTTGTTTTCTACTTTTGATAATTTATAACCCAATGAATGTACAGCACAATGGTCAACTATTGTTTCATTGTGCTTTATAAAGTAAAGTGAGGAAAGTAAAATTACTGAATATTTACATATTTGCAAAAATGTTTATTATAAGCTGAAACTTTTCACCAATATTTCAACTTTATATTTCCAGGCATAGACGCTTGTAAATGCTAAAGAAAAATAACTTGTCTTTACTCAATATTAAAAATGGTTATATAAATATGCATGCATTTTTTGTTGCTTAAGATAAAACAAAGCAATAGTCATAATCATACTTTTCTCATACAGAATCATTTATATGATGTTTCCAAATGATTTAATTCTTTCTAAGGAAATTGCTAAACCTGTTCCTCAGAATGGAAGTGAAGAGCGAGATGAGGGGAAGTCCATCAGGAGGTCTAGTTCAATAGTTGCATCAGGTGATTTCAAATGGTCACTGACACCAGAGCTTACAGTTACAGAATTTTTTTCTATGCTTCTATATTTTCTAATATCAGATTTACACTGATCTCACTCACTGTTTTTTTTTGGAATACCACTTTATTGCTTTAACATTTACTTTCATGGCTGTCCAGCAACAACTGGGAATGCTGACCCCGAAAGCTTCATCCAAGGAATGCAGGGATATCAATGGACAGACACAGACCTGGAGTTTATATATGAAACCAAAAGGAAAAAGCAAGTTCAACAGGCGCAGGTCAATTTTTTATTATGTTAGATTACATATAGAGAATGGGAATCTACGTCATGGGGAGTTGTGTTCCACCATGTTTTTGGACACGGTTAGCAGAGGATAGTGTAAACTAATGCAAACCACCATAGAAAAAGTAATACAATTTTATAGTAATACTTTTTGAAACATCTTTCAGTAATAGAATACAAAAGGACTAATGTGTTGTGGATACCTTAATAAACTCTGTTTGTATGTCGGAGAAGTAACTAGGTAGGATTTTGTTTTTCTGGAAAATTTATTGTGATATGAATATCATTTCATTTCATGACTTATAACTCCATTTTAAAAGTTTTCATCATTTTTAATTTATGATCGTGATTTTGTTGGGCAGTGAATTGTAGTACCCAAAAGGTTTAACCCATTTGTGCCCAAATTTTGTTAAATCGTTTCATGCATGTAGCCTTGTTAATAGTGTCCTATATGAACATGTTTTGCATTAATTTTCTCCAGGTTTTTGAATTTTTTTTCAAGAATATCGTATTTGAATATGTGGCAACTATACTTGTCGGTGGGCAAATAAATTGTAAGAACACTTTGATGTAAAATTTGAAATGAGGAGAACATTTGGCATTCTAACTCAAAAAAATGCTTTTAACAGATCAGTTAATATCAATAAATGCATTTATTGTTTTTAAAACGTATTTATTTATTAAAAACCATTTGATATGAACCCCCTGTAAATTATCCATCATATAATTTAATGAATATGTAAAAAAATAGAACTAATCCATTTGTCTTAGAGTGAGGAAACACACACACACACACACACACACACACACACACACACACACACACACACACACACACACACACACACACACACACACACACACACACACAGTAGTTTCCCCAACAGACTACTGTCACAAAATCACAAGAGTAGAAAGTATTTGGTCCCACACTACAAAGTTACAGCAGTCAAAAAAAAAAAAGAAACATAAAAAAGTGAAGTAAATACCACAATGGTGACATCAAACAAATAAGTTTTTTTTTTTTTAATTAAATCTCACTACAAACTTTTGTAGACATCTGACAGAAATAGTCAAACAGCTTAGTAGGCTAATAAGTAAAGCTGCTGATTCTGTTTGTGGAGTTGTTTAATGGTCTTGATGGGTTGAAATTCTGAGTGATTTATTGAGTTTTCATTTGAGTTCCTATGCTACATTTCTCTTTTTCTCATTTATTCATGATGTGTTTGCATGTGTTTATTATTTCGACCCTTCTGATAAATCAATTAAGCCTCATCTCATCTTAATCTGCTTTACAGCTGGAGTTAAGTGAAGTGCAGAAATCTCTGAAGAGAATGAGGCAAATGCGGGACTTGGCCATTGCTGCCCATGTCAAAATACAAACAGAGCTCTCTAAGGTACGCTGACGGAGCATTTGAAGAGATTTTCGTAATATGATTTAACCAAATATGATTTAAACCATGAGCTACTGTATGTACTGGTTTTTCAGGTGCCGTCGTGTGATCGGATGCAGCAGATTTCCTATAAAATACTTCTGAGGTCCCAGAACTCCAGTCAGCTGGAAGGACTTGATTTTAAAGCTCGACTTGCTCAGCTTAAGTATGCTGATGTGATCTGCACTATAGCCGAGGAGAAGACAGAGGTCAGCAAACTCAAGGCAGAACTGGAAAAGGCACAAGCAATGAGGTACAGTATTAACCCAACAGTTTGTATGTTGTGAAAAAGTTATGGAAAGATGGTAAATCCACCCTCTCTCAACCCCTGAGGATACAGTGGCTGACAACATGTTTTAGCAAGCATGTTAAATCTTCTAATCCTGTGCAATGATTTCACATTTCACTGTATGTTTATAGTATTTTTTTTGTCTGTCGTAAGATAGCTCAGTCACTAATTTGGCTGTTACACACCTCTAAGCTCAGTAAGCTAAATTTATTGTATTAGATCTAGATGGAATACATCTGTTTGTCCCATCTATTGGCTATAGACTGAACAATTAAAGGGCACCTATGGTGAAAAATCTACTTTTCAAGCTGTTTAGACAGATGTGTGTAGATAAAGTGTATAGACCATCATATTGGGGTGATATAAACACACACAGTCCTTTTTTCAAATTAACAACATAAAAACAGTGGACCAATTGGAACGGTTTTTAGATCGACTGCAACTTGACGTAGGAGTGCGGTCCCCCCGCCCACCCATATTGATTGACAGGCGCATCACCATATCCTTAGTTTGTTGTTTCACGTATTTTCAGCGTGTGAGTCAAAGCGGTATCACTAAAGGAACACCCTTGCGGCTCATTGGGCTCAACACAAGATCAATATTCTCCACAGTATCGATCTAATAGGCATTATTGTTTGTACCTTTTGGTAGGTTTGCAAACGTGTACTTTTCATTGCGTCTACATTAAACTTCAGCCGTTTGCATTTCTCGCGATCACAGAAGCTCCCTGTGAGTGTGATCTTAACCACTTAAACCACTTAAACCGGGTCAGTGATGTCATCAAATTTCGCTTTAAGATTTAAAAGGCTAGCATTGCACTAGACCCCCGTAAGTGGTTTCGTTTGAAAGTATAGAATCTATATTTTATGCACATATGTATCACTTTGGTTTTTATTTTACTGTACAAAAGTTATTTACACTTAAATACACAGTAATTTGGATACCTGAGCTAGGTATTTTACATTGGTTCATTTTCATATTTTTCATATGACACATTTACAAGTTATAGCTCAAATGAAAGTTATTGCCGGTGCTTATATGGTTCTAGCATTCTTTTCTCTGAATTATATTCAAATATCTAACAGTTGCCGAATGAATTGCGGTGTTTCCATGGCGCAGAAGTGAAAACAATACATTTTTGATCACTAAGCAACCCCAGATAGCACAGACAGCTGTCACCTCTTTCCTTATGATGTGTGCTTCAGGGCCATTCTCCTCTGTTTTTGAGGTTATATGCATTAGTAATCCTTTTATATGTCTGATGTGGTCCAAACACAGTGAATTATGTTTGATCAAACAAAAGAATAGTGAAATAGGAAAACAATGATTGGTCTCTGTGGCTTGTATAGCACCTCTCATCAGTTGTAATACAATAACATTTGCATAGATTATGGTAGAGACATTTTTCTTTTTTCCTATGATTACAGACATGTGCAGGAACCACCAAAATTAATTTCAGCAAGCTAGACCACACAGTACCTATAAGCTACACTTTCAAATTTGAGTTTATAAAAATACAAAAAGTGCCTCTTTTTTTTAAGGGTCACGAAACACCAAAACACATTTTTTGAGCTGTGGACAGTCGTATATGTGTCCCACACTGCTAAAAACACTATTAGGACACCTATATTTCACTAAAAAGTGTAAATTGGTTGTTTTTGCATTATTTCAAGCAAATTCGTACTTCCGGTTTTAACGAATTTTTGAAGCTGCGTCACGGTCATGACATAATAGCGTGTATTCCAGCGTGCAGACTGGACGTCTGTGCCAGAGTGTGTCTTATTACGTCTTACAGTGTGATGCATTAATGCATGAGTAAAGCTTGGTTCAAACCAATCAGCGCGCTGCATTGTGCAACTTCATTAATATTCATTACTGTCATAGTGTTTAGGCGACAGAGACACCGCGTTGTGTTGGCAAAACAAGAGTGAAGTGTTGATTTTATAGTTTGCTGCTGTTAAATTTTGTTTTCATTTTCTCTCTGTGAGAGCTTAGCTGGAGTCACGCGTGGATTACAGTGTACGCGACGCTCGACAACAATAACTTGCGTGTCTAAGGAGGAACATTGTTTACCTGAGAGCTGTTCTCATCTGCAAACGCTGAGATCCGGATTCGCTTTAGTGTCCTCTTAATAAAGACGCGGCTCTAGTTGCTGGTGATTGTCCTGTCTCTACAGATTTGGTAAGTGAGCGACCAGTGCTCTTTGTTTATTCAGTTTGTTCGTATCGAACTAAGTTAACTATTGCACCAAGTGTAAACATGTTAGCACCACAACCAAACTTTAACCTCGTGTAGGATTTTCGCCGCATTTAGTGACCGGAATAACACATGCGGCTTTCTGATGCTACCTGCCGTGTGCATCTAAGTTTCCGGGAAATGCTGAGTTTTTTTTTTCCTCTCATTCGCCGTGCGGTATCAAACATTGCATGAAAAGTACACGCTTAGAGCAGTTCCTCGAATCAAATATTTCGTTTGTCGCGAGGGACATGAATGAATTCCCTAAATGAAAGAGCCAAACTGCAGTTAAAGTCCACCATTTAATAATTTGGCAAATAATAAGACTACAGATGTCCAAGTAAACACAGTCACTTTGTCCCCTGTGTGGGTGTGTGTTTTGACTCGGAAATACACCCTGCTGAAACGAGGGGGTTTCATGGCCCTTTAAGGTGTTTATTATAACACAGACAACATATACAGTTATTTTAAACACTTTCAATAGTGTTTTATGAAAATACAAAGGGTTTTCTTTAAAATGATACCAAATTTTTATATTTACACCTCAGCATGTGGATTTGGGAAGCTTTTAAATTTGGGTAGGCAAAATCCAGGCGGAAATCCCAAAATAGCAGCAGAGTTTAATTGGTTAACTAGGTGCAGCTGGAAATGTGCAAGCGCGTTGCCTCATGTGCACGTCTCTCCATTGGAAATGAAATGTCAAACTTGCCTGCAGTTCGCACTCCAGAAGCGCCGCTCTGCGTGGCGCAGCGCCATGCATTTCAGAATTCTAAACATAGGTTTCTATCAGGGTGCACACAGCAGTGTTTTAAGTCGGCGGCTGGGCACCGCGGACAGCCGCTGACTTGAAGCCCCGATGTGTTTACCCTGATAGAAACCTATGTTTACAATTATTAAATGCATGGCACTGTATGGCGCAACGATTCGGGACTCTTCGTGTTTCTGCCGCGCCACAGAGAGTGTCTGGTGTGCCGTTTTGCGGCTTCGAGCGACGCATTCGGTGCCTCAGTCAAAGTTAATTCAGTTTGCGTGGTTATTAGTCTCGTGTACAAGCTCGGCACTTGAAACTAGCACACAGTTGGCTGTAAAACTATGCAAAGACACAAATGATTTTGTACACTCTGCTTGGTCTGTGTCCGAGTCGTACATGTACGGCTGAATGGTAATCCTCTTATGTAGCTTAGCTTCTCTCTGTCTGCCTGTCTGTTGCAAACACAGAGCGTGGGAGCTCTTGGCTCCGCCCCCTTGTTACGTTGGGCGGGAAGCCGAAACTAATTTTCATGTAAAGCAACACATCCCTAAAACAGTGAGCTGTGTACACGCCCCCAACATGACACTTTTTAACACTTTATAATAAAAACATCTGAACTGTGTGTTGAACTTAACCTAAACTGGCACCCTCAGAAGAACCATAATATTTATATGAAATCATAAAAAATGGTAAACTATGCACCCTTTAATACAAATGCAAATAGTGTTTAACAATTTTTAAATTATTAAATGATCAAAATAATTAAAACTCATTTAACAATTTTCTATATATTTTAATTTTCATTCAGTGGAATAAATGCTCAATATTTTTTGTTTGCAGAGAAAAGGAGGAGCAACTCACGAAGGACATTGACAGCTATAAGGAAAAGATCAATCAAATCGAGGTGAGTGCCAACATGAGTCCATTCTTATATTAAACGGCCACTTGTTTAATGTATTGCACTGAAGATTGTCATTTTTCTGTAAAGGTAAACGTACATACACTGACTGCAGAAATAGCGGCTCTGGAATCCCAACTGTCTGGTAAAGAGGTTAGTTGATCACTTTTTGCCACTTCTTACCTGACTTTACCCATAGCAATTCTTAGACATTCAAACGGAATAAGACTTGAGGCCCATTCACAATACAGATTATAACTACGACCTTGTAGTATTTATTAGCAACCATAAAAGTAAAGTCCACACCCCAATTATAATATTAACAATTTAGAACTATTTTTTTTTTACAAATGGTGTAGGATTTATTGCATTGGCAGCCAATCAGAAACCAAGAACAGCAGACAAAAATGGATGCAGTCACTTTAAAGTAATTTATTCTATCTTTATTTAATCAGGAAAAAAGGCAGCCTGTCAAAAGGGGATTTTACCCTGGAGAAATATTTTCATATATCCCTAAACAATTGGCATAAATACTCACTTTAGGCATACTTGTGTTAATAGAGGATTTCCATTCTGCGAATGTCATTTTGGGAATCTTAATTGGCTTGTATTTCAGAGTAGGTTGCAACCAAAAACATGGCCCAAAAAAATTTAGAGACTGGCCTGGGGGCTGATTCCTGTAACTGAGTTCCTATAACTAACTGGGGCAAAAGCCCTAATCATCAATTTTAAATAGCTTTTTTAACATTTAAACTGACAGAACTGAAGCATACATTGTTGTGGACATTAATATAGTTCATCTCACTGGTGTGAAAGGGCCTGTAATCTTTATCTTCCAAATATTGGTGAATGAATATGCTTTTTACTTATGTAGGAGGCACTACGGCCAGCTAAACAATTGCAGCAAGTCAGAAAAGGCCTCCAAACCTCTGCTGCCTCTAATGCCAATAAAACCCATCCAGCACTTCAACCTTCCGCATCTGCAACGAAATCTTCTAGTGCTGCTTCTGCCACGAAACCTACTAGTGCCACTTCTGCAACGAAACCTTCCAGTATCAATTCTGCCACCAAACCTTCAAGTGGCGCTTCTGTCGCAAAAACTTCTAGAGCCACTTCTGCCCTGAAACTTTCCAATGATGCTTCTGCCCCGAAACCTTTCAGTGCCGAACATTCTGGTGCCACTTATGCACCTGAACCCTCCAAATGTTCCAGATCTCTGTCTCCCCTAAATTCTTCTAGCACCGCTTCTGCCCCTGAACCCTCTAAACCAACTATAGCCACTTCTGGACCCAAACCTTCCAGTGCTGTTTCTGCCACCAAACCCTCCAAATCTTCCAGTGCTGCTTCTGCCACCAAACCCTCCAAATCTTCCAGAGCTGCTTCTGACCCCAAACCCTCAAAATCTTCCAGAGCTGCTTTTGCCACCAAACCTTCCAAATCTTCCAGGACTGCTTCTGCCCCCAAACTCTCCGAACCCTCAGCTGTCCCTAAACCCCCAAAATCCATTGCAACCCCTTCAAACCCCCTCAAACCACCTGCTACCATGAAAGACTCCAAAACTCTCAAACTCACCACCGGCATAAAGGCTTCAGCAGATGATGTTGCTGGTCTGCGCCGCTCTAAAAGAATTGCTTCTAAGAAAGATAAGTGATCAATTTGTTTAGAACCTTTTTCTTACTCTCATATATGATGCCATTTTTGTCTTGAAATCATGTTTTTGGAGTGGGAGGATTTACTTTTAAACTGTGAGGGAATTGTTTGGTGCCCTCTGCTGGATATTTAGGTATTAGCGTTTGTGGACACTATGGATATTAAAATCAGATGTGATTGACAAAATGGACAACATGCATTTAGATGTTTTGCACTCTTTTTTTTTTTCTTTAAGCCATGCATTAAGAGTGCATTTTATTTTGGAATTAATAAATGTTTTTTCAACTGTCTCTACATTTGTCTGGGCTGTGTTGTAAAAGGCTGTAGCTCTTCAGAAAATCTGAGAAACCCAACATTGTGAGCAGCTCTTACAAATAATTTTCCTTTCTACTTAGAAATTAATTAGGTCAGTGCCTAATTGACCTAAACAACCCTGTGGCTAAATAATATCCTGTTGGAAATGATAGCTGATGTGCTTTGGAAAATAATGTCTTCTAGTTGTTCAAAGCTGGTAGACCAGCAAAAAAACCTGCTAAATCAACTGGTCAAGCAGAGGATTCAAGCTGATTTCCCCCCCTCCCCCAGCAAAGACTCTGTAGGCTTACAAACTTTTATTTTAGCTACAGTAAGTGTAAACCTTGTTTTAAGCATTATTGTAGAGAATTAAACTGGAATTTCCAGCATGGTAGGTAGTTTCACTTACAAGGACGCTAAAAACTGCAAGCTCTGCATTAGCAGAAAAAGCCTAATGCAAAGAAAAAGCCTAATGCAACACGAGACACAAAGAAGCACTGTAGACTCTTGCCAGAAAACACAAACACTATTCAGAAACCAAAAAGATGACACCCTAGAATCTTGCTAGAGTACCCGAGCAATATCCTGAAACCCTAGCAACAACTATAATCTAGCCATAACTAACAACACACCAAAGTCCAGTACACAAAGTAACCACCAAGCAAACAGCTTAAAGGGGTGGTCCACTATGATATCATATTTGAAACTTTAGTTGATGTGTAAAGTAGCTGTGTGAACATAAACAACATCTCTGAATGTAAAAAGTTCTAAGTTCAATGCAAAGAGAGACCTTGGTTTTTACAGAATTAGCTTAGCAAAGCCTACGATGAATGAATTTTGGGGACTACAAAAAATACTTCCGCCCCCTGTGAGATCACAACAGTTCGTTACTGCGCATTCCACACTTCGCATGCAGGTAAGGGCCGTGGCCAGAGGCGATGTAACGTTATAGCAGAGATGAAGCTAAAAATGCGTCTAAACACGGCTGTTCCCACAGAGCTTCATCTGTTTCTGTATTTGGGCTTCCAAAGGACACAACACAAAGACAGAAGTGCTTAGAGTTCAATATTAATTATGTTCCAGAGAATTTTAAAATACACAGCAAGCATGATTTAACAAAACAGCTCCAGAATCTCTCCCAGTTCAGTGCTGGATTCGGCTAAAATCTCCTCAGCAGAAGCTATAAGCTACAACCAGTAAGTGTTTTTATTAGTTAAAATTGATCGTTACATGTACAGTGTCTAGCGTTAACGATACACTGTAGCAATGATGTAAACAATGGGAAATGCTGCTTTGCGGGCAAATAATTGAGCTACAAATTCATATTTATCAGACAAACTGCTGTAAACACACACACACACACACTCCACCAGCACGTTCGTGTCTCTTATGTGTGTGGACTGCACTGATTGTCTTCAGGCAGCTTTTCCATGTGTTTCACATCTCAGATAATGAAGTTGCAAAAGATATGTGGATGATTCATATTACTTACACCTGCATATTCCGGATACACGTGAAAGCCGTCGTGTAATGCATAGAGTTAAAAAAAAAAAAACAGGTTAGCTTACCTGACTCGTGTTCGCAGCAGAATAATAAATCAAGGCTCAACAGGTAGCATCCCACATCTTGTGCTTTATTCTTCTGTCACGATATATTACAGAAAACAACTTAATCCGAGCATCAGAGAAAAAGAAAGTACCGCGCACATGCGCTTGTTACAGAAAGTTCACACATTCACACCCACATTGACGCAGACAACATTCACACCGCACACACAATGGCAAACTCTTAAAGGAGCCGCACCTCATTTTCACTCGTTACAGACACTTGTCAGATTTTATTTTAGAGCAGGCAGGAGGTTGACTGCAGCAGAAAAGCGCATGCTTTTACGGGCGTGACGTGGTGCCAATCCGGGAATAGCAGCTCATTATGACAATGACCAATCAGAGTCACTTAAGGGCGGGCCTTTCAAAGGAACTAGGAAATATGACAGTCATTTTCATGTTAGCTGAGTAGCTGTGTATAATTAAATTGAGATATATGAGAAAATAACGCGATTTCCTTCAAGTGAAACATAAGCACACATTGCTTTGCATCTTATAAACACAACCAAGCCTTAAAATTACATTGTGGACCACCCCTTTAACACAAGAATTTACACAGAAAATTCTCTCTTACTCCCTCCAGGACTAAGTTTGCCCACCCTTGGTCTAACCAGAATATCCTACAATCTAGTAACACACTGAAGCCATCCTGTACACTCTTTCAATTCACTAGAAACAGCACAGACACCATAGCAACACCCCAGAAATCACATGCAGTATACAGAAACTACCTAGTACATTCGAATAACAACAACCCACATCCTAGACACTAGCAACAGCACCCTAGCAACACCCTATAATATAGCCACACCCCAAATTCTAGTTGGGAGGTCCTAGTAACACCTGGCCTGCAATTTAACAACACACTGAATTCAACAAAGTACATACTTGCTAAACACTAGAAATAATACAAGACAACATTGCAAAACCAGAGAAACCACATAGAACACCTAAAAGCACACAGTACAAAATAGTAACACCCTATAATGTAGAATGTAGGGCCGTACTCACACTAGGTACAGTTGCCTCGAACCGGGCCAAAGCATGCTTGTCCCCCCTCCCGTCTCACCCGACAGCCCGCGCTCACACCACAAATGGGCCTCGGCACGCTTACGTCATCACTTCTGCACCGTTCAGTGAGAAGCGCTCTCTCACTCAGCAGCACAGTGGAGATTTCTCTAGTTATATCGTTTCAGTCCTTTGTTATGCAGTGACATGCAGTTAAATATTTCGCCAAACAGTCCTTAGGGATGAGGTGACTCGCAGTCAGATATTTCGCCGAACAGATCCGCCACTTTGCCGCTCATAAACAATCATAAAGCCCTCGTGCTGCAGGAATGAGGAGGTCTGCTGAAGCCGCTCAGCTGTCGTGCTGTGAGGAGTTCTCGTCTTTAATAAACTATGGCAGTTTGCGTTCACTGAACAGTAAGAATGATTAATAAATCCATATGAAACCCTTAAAAGTCACGTCTCGCTTTCAGTTTCGGGCTTTGGCGCATTTTGCACTCACACACAAGCGTACCGTGCCAAAGCCCAAGTGAACCGCGCTCAGGCCCACCTCTTCCAACCGAGCCAGGGCCGGCCAAGTGAACCGTGCTTGAGCCCGATTCAGCGCACTCACACTTCTCAAATGATCCGGGAAACAGGCCTGGGCATGGTATGGGTGGCATAGTGTGAGTAGGCCTTAAGACACTCTAGATCCTGATGTCACCCACTATAAGTTAACAGCAATGTATACCCAACAAAGGGGTGCTTAAACTTTGGATCCCCCGTCCTAGAGTCTTGCCAAAACACTATACAGCACTCTAGTCCAGGGGTGTCCAAACTCAGTACAGGAGGACCGGTGTCCTGGAGAGTTTAGCCCCAACCCTAATCAAACACACCTGAACAGCTAATCAAGATAAAATACTAGAAACTTCCTGGCAGGTGTGTTGAAGCAAGTTAGAACCACACTCGGCAGGACACCGGCCCTCCAGGACAGAGTTTGGACACCCCTGGTCTAGACTATATCAGCAACTAAAACCACCCAACAGAGCCTAGCAACACTCTAGAAAGCCTTTAGAAAAAAAAACAAAAAAAAAGCAGACTGAAGCCACCATTCCGCTTCTATTATAAAATGTGACTTAGCCACTAATATGATTGATCTGCTTTTTTCTCTTAGCAATGCAAGTTTGACTCTATGTGACTTGCACAGCAATTAAATTTGCAAATTAATTTGACTAAAATGTTTAATCAACTGAAAGCCCTTATATGTGTTGTGAAAGTGGTTGGCAAAGCTGGTGAAATCCGAACTTGTCTTTACTCTGAAACACTGAAGTACAATCAGAAAAGGGTCGAGGGTCTGGAAGACATTAACATTGAGAAATCCTAAACAAAATTTCCAAAATCAACTGTTTTTGTAAGTGTACCCTGCTTCAACACCAATTCGACTTGATCCAGCAGAAATCTGTTGATGTAAGCCTAAGGGAAGTTGTTCCCTGCTGAACGATATGTTAACCACATTTAAACTCTCTCACGGTCTCTCATACACTGTTTCCAATCCAACAATAACGGGTGACACGGGTTGAGTCAGCAAAGAGATAATGTGCTTCCTGTACAGACCTTCCATCTTCCAATTTTTTGTGTATATGCATTTATTATGTGTTTCCGGTCTGAAAGAGTGCTGTCAAAAAAATCATCACAATATAATTAGCATTTTATTATCACCAACAACATTCAGATAAAATACATTTTTACAATGTTGTTGGGATGATATGGGTGGTAGGTCCAACAAATGTCTGCTCTGAGGGCCCCAATATTGTGTGGGTGCTTAGAATTGTCCTAACTCCAACCAACCCCAATAAGAAAAGATGCACATAAACTATGAAGGAAACACTTTTACTGAAAAAATTCCAGTATGCGCATTAAAAAGGACATGTGATTTTGTTAAGAGATCATGTGATGATATAAATGTGTGTGAATGGACAAACCAGCAGGCTGAGCACATTGTAAAACATCTGAAATGTTGTCACTCTAAAATGCCGTAACCATTTCAGAGTTATTATATTATTAATGACCTCCAGAATCAAGGGCTTCTGTGCTCCACGTGTCACACCCTTAAACGCCACCACCTGTTCACTGCGTGTCAAGATTGCTTTTCTGAGGGGCAAATCATTTATTTAATAAAAAAAAAGGTTCATGCTACTTCTCCTACGAAAGCAAGTTCTGTTTTTGCTGTTGATATTTGGTGCCAGATAATCAGTAAGTGACGATTTTGTTTGATTTGACTCGTTGGATGGAAACACTGCTTTATTCGCACGTCTTTTATGCAATAATCCAGTTTTGCGCATAAAGTTAATTCACGTTTTTGGATGGAAACCGAGCTACTGTCTCACTTGTTTAACATAAATTAT